TACTACTATTTTGAATAACAATTTTGTTTATGTTCTTTTGCATACATTGTATTATTATATTATTCATATTTTTCATTGATTTGTCTCGCCTTCTCTTTTGTTGTTTATTTTCGTCTCGCGCTTGAGCGGAAACGGCGCAAAGAGATCAATTTTACAGAGCGTGAAGACTTCTGTGCCGCGTTAGCTGAGCCGAACGGCTTACAGAGCCACACATTCACATTCGTAGCAAAACGAGTTTATCCACTTGAGTTGTCGCGGAGCGGTGGAGTGCGTTGATCGCGGTAGGCAAATGGGCATCTCTAGAATATCGCACGATTCTGTGCATTAAAAAGCTATAGTTGTTAGTATGTCGTTGTTGCTTTGCATGAGTGCAGCGAACTTTTAAAACGAACTATATACACATACACATTTACGCATAAGGGTGGACCTTATTTGTGAGACATGTTAAAAATAGCATACGATATATAATATTAACTAGATCAATACTAAAAGTACCCAAATTCTATGACAAGTAACGTCGAGAAATATTAAAAGTTCAAAAATCCATTCAAAATGGCTAGAAATTAAACCGAATTAAATTGAAAATACTGAAACAGAGAAATATTCTATGAAATCTTTTTTATGACTTGCACGAAGATGAGATTAAAGCATTACTTTATAATTAACAAAACTAATGTTTAACTAAAATCTATAAAATATAACTTGTTATTATTGAAGAAACCGGTTAAAATACCTAAAATGGTACCCAAAGACTTTACTCAAATTCAACCAGAGAACTTTGTTTTCGAAAGTACTTTCTTTGACGAGAGAGCAGCGTTCAAAGCTAGCAGGTCAATGGCAAATAGAAGCCTTTTCAAATTCCATCAGACATTAGATCGAAATGATCACCAACATGGCTAAATTGATAACCTTCACCTTTGGAGATAACTAGGTAACTAACATGTGGCATACAAAATTCTTTTTATTTGTTAGGCGCGGTTTTCACTATGTCAAATTTAATGAGGAAAAAATCAGCAAAAATTAGAATGTTGTAGTGTCGATGTAAAGTATTGATTTAAGCCGGAAAAAAAATGTAAATCAATTTTCATAAGAAAGTGCTTTTAAAATCATTGCAGCTAATAGTTTGACTACGATTGTCATTAAATTTGACAAACTGAATACCACAGATCAAATCGAGATAGGTTTACAACTGCAATTCACACACAAATCTACAAATAAATTGTTTAAGCTTAAGACATCGCAATGAATACACTCAAGACAAACAAACAAGCTCGATTAAGAAAACCGATTAATTAAACACTAAAAACTTCAACATCTTAATTTTTCAGATTCTAACTCTAATGTGGAACTCGTTTTTGATCTGTTTTATAGCGTTTACTACTTGCAATATCAAATATCTGAGATAAACAATTCTCATTCTTTGTATTCCTCTGTTCTGCAGATATGAACGAATTTGATACCACATGTTCACTGAGCTCGCTTAACGTAGCAGATCATGGCTACAAATAAAGCTTGTCAAGAAAAGAAATCTAAAATTGGTTTAGTTAAATTTCAGGTCAATGTTGATGCTATATTCATTCAGGCGGAAAATCTAACTATGAGTTTAATGATTAAAAACTCAAGTGGTCCATCGAAGCAATTTCGTAAAGAAATATTTATTTGTAATGATTTATATTGCGCATGAACGTATGCATGTATTTGTGTAATTATGTGCACTTCAAATTGAGAAAAATTGCAATGCGCTGTCATCGCTTCGCAAATAACTTTCTGCCGAGAGAACGGTATAAAAAGACAGTGCTTACATTAGAAACATTGACGAAAGTCATTTTTAACTGGATTCGTTGCGGTGCGTAGGACACGTGGCGGCTCTATAAAGAGATAAACAAACTTGCGCCTGAATGCCGGTTGAGTGCTTGAACGTGTGTGTTGGCACATGCGAAACGCTATACCGTTAATAATAAGGGAAAATAATAATATTGTTGTAGGCGAACAATAAAGGTAATGATAATGATGAGTATGATAAAAAGCAGAAAACAAAAAAAAAACTAAAACTACACATTTGCAATGCACACACAAACCGACGCATTGCATATTTGGCAAATGCCAATTGCTTGGTGAGGCATCGGTGGATTGAGATGCGCAACAACCCTCAGAGCAAAGCAGAGGTGATGTATGGAAATAAATAGTTGACTAATTTTTACGGTAACCACTTGAGTGAATGCCGTGTTATATTTTAAAATTCCACACAATTGCCCTTCAAGGGGTTGTTTGGCCGTTCAACGGTGTTTTGATTTCACTTCAGCGACGAATTCAATGCGCAAGAAAAGATTTAATTATTGCGTTGATTGCTTTGATTGAGTGTTGAATGTTGAGTATGACGATGAGAACTTTTTCGTTTGATATTTTGTATGAACTTGTGTGGGAACCAAGTGCTGAAAAAATGCATACGATTTGTTGTCTTGTGAATATAAGGGCTTTGAAAAAGAAATCTCAAATTTTTGTATGAAATTTAAGATTTTATTTAGCATAATTTTGGTAAAACGATTTAGTTTAGGTTAAATATGCACCGTTTTCTTCCATAATTTGTGGCAATTTTGAAGACTAATTCGTAACTACACTCTCTCAGGAAGTCTCGTTTCTATTGGAAAAAGTGGGATAGTCGATTTTCGCAAGCTACTCTTGCGGCGAATTTTTCACCAGGAAAATCATTCGCCATAGTTAGGAACAGTTAGTAATCACTTGGTTTCAGATTCGGACTGTAAGGTGGTTGCATAAGAACCTTGGAACCAGCTGTTGTCGAGTCACTTCCAATGTATTTGACCTGACGTTGTTCTGATGGAATATTCTTATTTTTATATTGGTCCAAGCTGATCGTTTTTTGGCGATCGCTCCCCTCAAAACGTCCAATTATAGGCAGTATAGGCCCGAATTACGAGTTTGGTCGACAGCTCAAGTCCATGATTGCCTGCCAATCGCACCTAACACATATGTAGCAAAACTATGCTGGCCTTCAATGCTGGCTTTTGGTTTGCGCAGGCTCACCACAATACGACCACGACCGTTTTCGCTTGGCGTTATCGTAAGTCATCCACTTTTCGTCAGCAGTCAGAAATATACCGATTTTGTTGCGAGTCAGCAGCGTTTCGAGAATATTTTAACATAATTTAATTCAATTTGATGCGAACCGGCTCTAACTACACCCACATATGCAGACACCCCATAATTGCCAACACCTACTCAATTTACACGGAATGTTTATGAAAAATTCATTCTTGAATCCACTTTCTAAATCCATAATCGG